TCACACAACTGCATTCTGTACTGATACACTGCTCAAGCAGTATTCATGACTCTGCTTTACGTGCAACTGATGTGTTTGCCATTTGTGCTTTTCAGCCTCCATCGCAGATGCAGCTGTAAGGGGGTGCTCCAACAGGACTTTCCTGTTCTTGCTCGGCGGAGGAGGGTGAGGAGGCACAGTATAACTCCCGCAACCAAAAAGCGGGGCGCACTCAATTTGGGAGCAGCCTTCGGCACCAATCCCTGACGATGATGAGTTCTGAGGCAGAGTCGGAGGCGGAGGCAGAGTCGTCCGAGGAGGAGACCGGAGGTGACTCGGGCTCGGCTCGGGCTCAGATGGTGAAGCTGGCAATGATGCTCCTGGACTTCGTCCAGTGAAGAGGAGCAAGCGACAGACCCTCAGGCCTGAGACAGTTGACATTGATCCAGACTTTGTTGCCTTTCTTTTTACTTTTCTTTTGCTGGTAAGCTTGAGCAGCATCTGTACTGCCGCAAGCAGGTTTATTTTCTTCAAGCTAGTACTTGAAAAGATGATGAAATGAAACAAGATTTTTGTCTGAAAAAGTGTTGGCCATTTGTACATCGCGATCGCATCGCATCAATATACCATAACAATGCAAATGAGATGATCTTTGTCTGAAAATTGAACACTTGTATTGTAACAACCAACGTGTTGAACAAGCTACGTCAAAAAACCAACTCAATATAACCCCACTTCTCATTCTGAAACACACAGCTACAACACGGCGCTTGTTTACTCGGCACACAGCCCTTGTTATACTTAAATAGACAACGCACTGCTTATTCTGAACACACAACCCAATTCTGAACAACAATTCAAATCTTAAAAGGCAGGACGCAAAAACCCCCGGGCCAAACTAAAAGTTTGGAACAAACAGGATGCTCAACAATTTCCCTCTTTCTTTGGCTTCGCGGTCCGGAACTCCACATAGTCTCGAAGGTCCTGGTTACTGTTCCGACAGTAGCCTGGGTGAACCCTACGAACTATTGAAAAAACCAATCTTGCTTGCACAAATGTGGAGAATGGCACAGCACTCTGATGCACAAAACAATTTTTTGAAATTGAGAAATGAGTTGTCGATCTGGTATTGAGGCTATGACGCAAACACAGCGCCCCTAACGACTCGACAAAAGGTACACAACCTAAATACAATCGAGACATGCCGGAGTAAGACTCCAAAACAAGAGTTGAGGTAAAACCAAAACAAAGACACGACATCACCAGACGTGTTACAAAGACAGAACTCTTCAGTTCGCAACGAGCTTAGTTTTTCCGGGTATGTTTCCACCCTTTCTCATTTGTGGATTCTCCACATCACTCGGCCGCTCAGGCTCTATTTTCTCAAAAAGCCTTTTCTCAACTTTTTCCCTCTCAATGCATCATCCTCTCTGTTCTTCAATCTCTCGCTCTTTTTATTCCCTTCCCTGAGTGGTTGAGGATAAACAAAGGTTGTGGGTTCATGCCCTAAACACTGGTAGCTCGCAGCTACTTCTTCGGCGACGTCTCCTTAGTGATGCTCGGATGAAGGGAGTGGAGTATCTTGAATCCGTTCCGACTCGTCTTCGCACTTGGCTTGATACCTCGTTGCTCGGAGGGTGAGGAGGCTTTAAAGCCCTTACAGACAGCTCCAAGTTGTGCCCTTTCTGCAAGTAATGCTGCGATGGGGAAAGACAGGAATCCTAACTTAATTTTCTGTGCCCGCTTGTTCATCATTTGACATTTTTGTTTTGGTTTCTACTAAAACAATTTGACCAAAATGAAGTAGATTAACATACTTGTTGCGATTTTTGATTGAAAATCATGCAAGTCAGCTATTACACTGAAAATTTTCCTTTTTGTCTGACTTTAAGAGTGATGGTTGTCGATCGAGCAAGTCTTTACGCATATATCAGTATTGGTGAAAAGCATTCTTTAGTCATTTTTTCATTCCTCTATCTCTCTAAAACATTTCTAACGTAATTTATTCCCCTCTCTCTCCTCTCTATTCTTACCTAAAAACACGCTCAAATACACCTAAAATCTGGTTGATCTCGTCGCTCTTGTGCTCTAGAGAAAAAGATAAAGCTCATTAAAGGAAAAACATTTTAAATCGTGAAAACTTTCATTTGACTTCGTCTCAAGTTAAGGCTTGCTCTCTTCTTCTCTAACTTGAGCTAGGATTTCTTCACTTCTAGTAGATTTCTTAACTTTCGTTATGTGCTCCCATCCAGGATGGGATTTGGAATGGAGGTTTATTTATTAGGGTTTGATTTTTAAAATGCAAAAAAAAAGAATTTTCAAATGGATTCTTGAAATGTTGGAACTGTGATATTGTTTAGTTGTATTGAAATGTTTAGAATCCTTCCTTAATGTGCTTTTGAAGTAAAAGAATGTTTTTATTGGAAAATCATTGAATATTTTTGATTTATGAAAGAAATTAAAAAGAATGTTGGGTTTAAAAAGATAAGATAATGTATCTGTTGATATGAGTGGGGTGGATATAATATTATCACTTCCATTTTGAAATTTATGAGATTATAGCTATGTTTGAAAATTTATCTATGAGTAGAGATACTCTGTATTGGGCTATTGATGGAGGATAACTTTGATAATTGTAGAAATTAAATGAGGATTAGGTTCAATTGAACTAATTTCATGAAATTTTTCGTGTGAGCATTGTTTCATACTTAAACAATTGAAAAAATATATGTTTTGAGAAAATAGGTGTAATATCTTAGTGAATCTAGTAGGGGAGTGTAGTTGTGGTTATATGTTGGCCTGTGTCTCCTTATAAAAGTCTAAAAACTTACGCAGTGAGTGCTGACCTTCCGGGTTAGTAACTGGTAAAATGACTTTGTAGTGTTGTGTAGCTACTGAGACATGTACTTAGAGATTCTAGTGTTTTGTATCCACTGTCTTATTTTTCTGATTTAAAAAGATTGTTTTATGAATTGAATAATTACACACATAACTGAGACATGCATTTTTTGAAAGAAATAAAGTATGCTATTTGGCAAAGACAGTGGCATATACATTCATCATATGACTTTGTTAATCTTCATATTGTGTTAAAGTATCTTTACTGGATTTAAGCTCACTCTACGTGAAAACCACAATTTCAAGGTGCCTTGATGATATGCCTTCATAAGGATGTAACCTTAGAAAGGACTGGAGTCGAGATCTTCTTTTGTTTTTTTGTGTAATTATTTTATACAAGCCTTAGACTTTCAATGTATTGGAGTTTACACTCACTTTTGTTTATACCCAAACATTGACTTAGAAAGATGTAGTCATTAAAAATATAAGGACATTTACCAATAATCCTATCTGCACAAACAGATACTCCAATTTTAGTCTCAAAGTTTTTTCTATGATCTATTAAGTCCTATTAGTGAGAGTTTCTTTCGCGTGTGGTCTTTTGATTTTGGTAGTATTTTGGTTGGGATAGTTATACCTTTTTATTAATGTGACAGGTATGATGTTTGATACTCAAATGTGGGTAGGTATTAATATAACACTCTAATGATGTGATCACCTCTAAAAAAATTAAAACTCCTAAGTATACTTTTTCTAAATGTGACAACTGTGATGGGTATGATAATAAAACACTCCAAAACTTTTTACTCAGAAAATAAAATCCTCCCATTAGTGTACTTTTTCAAATGTAACAATATGAACAGAATGTGTGACACTTCAATAAAAACTCCTTAGTGTACATTTTTCTCAAAGCGTGACAACGTAACAGAATATGAATAATCGATACTTCCAAAAAGAAATAAAAACCCTTAATTAGTTTTCTCAAATGTGACAACGTGGTAAGTATGATGTAACACTTAAAAAATAAAAAACTTCTTAGTATATTTTTTTTCTCAACATGACAATGTAGCGCTCTAATGTTGACGCTCTAAAAAAATTAAAAACTTCTTAGCAAATATTTTTCCAAAATGTACATGTGACACTCCAACGTGACGCAGTTTGATGTGACATCTAAAAAAAATAAAAACTTTTTAATGTACTTTTATTCAAATGTGACACTCTAACGTGTCGGATATGATATAAACATCTAAAACAACTCTTTAATGTACTTTTCCTAAATATATACACTTTAATGTAGCAAACAAATTAATCATTACACATCCAAAAAGGACTAAAATGATTACAAGAAAAATATGAAAATATATAGATTACAAGTGCTAAAATGATGAGATTTATTGGTCAATTCTCCCCTAAAGTATAAACTTAATTTAAACTTCTTTTATTCCAATTTATTTATACATGTCATTTATTATAATTCAGAATTTAAAATTATAAATTTATATATATGTCATATTTAATACTACAAGAATATTGATAAAAGATTAATTATTTATAAATTTGTTGACTTTTTCATTAAAAATCTTGAGGTGATTTTTATTATTATTCGAGGTGATTTTGTTTTATTATCTTGGCACGTAATATCTCACATGCTCAATATTCCATGTCAGGTAGGCTGCCAAAGCCTTAAAACAATGATCTTGGTGGAATTTGAGAAAAACCCACAGGACTACGAGTTTTATTTAATATTTTTGTATAAAAATAAAATAAAAAAGGGAAAAAAAAAGAAATCTCTTTTTTATTGTAGTTTAGCATGAGTAAACGCATCCATCCATGTCTATCTTGTTTCCTCTAGTTAGGAGTAAGCAAGTAAAATACTATGTTATAACAGAAATGTTTAAAGATTCAACTCACATGTAACTTCAAAAAATCATGAATTGAACCTATATATATAGCATATTTAGCATCTATATATTTGTTGTAAAAATAACAGTTAAGACATGTGTCATAGCTTGCATAGCAGCACTAATTTTGTACATGGCGCAGGAGCAAATCCTATATTCACAAGGTTTAAAAAAAAACCATAGTGAGAATGAACATTGGTGGCAACAAAAGAAGATAGAAACACCTCCTTTGATTAATTCACTAGTGTAAACTTCTTTGGCCAAAGAAAAACAAAGGTCAATCTAGAGGATCCATTCTACACCCCCACTCTCCTCTCTGCTTGGAAAAAGAAGCCTGTAAATGCAACACTGTCATACCAAACACAATGAGATATTAAACATCTATACTATATTGTAAAAGAAACAGCAAAAAGTAAATTTTGAGTAATTTTAATTTTATTTTTTCCTATTCCAAGATTGTCCATAAAAGTGATTTTTTAGCAATTAAATGAAATTCTTGCAATATTTTTTGGGTAATGGTGTGAAATTGCTCCGACAATTTTCAAAATTCAAAAGGTGATTTCTTAAAAATTTCTTCTCTTTTTAGAGAGTAACCACATTATTTTGCACACGCCGTTTGATACACTTTACTGTCAATCTCTCATCCATACAATATTTACTGTGCGTGCTCTATTTGCGTGTCAAGAGCTAGTGACTTATAAATTTTTAAGATAAATTAATTTTTCAGCCCTTTAATTTGACCTAAAATTTTCTTTGATTTTAGT